AAAAAAAAAAAAAAAAAAAGATTGGCCTTGCCATTGTGAGGGAGAGAGCAAAGGAAAGAAGATAAAAGGAAGAACTGATTCAAAACTTGATTAAAATCCATTAAATAAATTTCATGGTGGCTTGGAAGTAATAACCAATGGAACTATGCACAGCCTTGTTTCTGCTTGCTATAAGTTTGATTCAAAAATAGGACATCAGCTTAAACAGTCCTAAAAAGAATGATTATAGAGATCCTGTATAACAAGATTAGTATTTATATATTGTGTGTGTGTAATACACATCCACACACACACCTACTTAACAGTTATGTTAAATTATTTTAGAAGTTCATGACTATCATTTTAAATTTAGAGGCCCTTTATCTGTATCTACATATCTATATTTTAAACATAGATTCACATCTATTATATATATATATTTTTTTTTTTTTGTGAGGAAGATCAGCCCTGAGCTAACATCCATGCCAATCCTCCTCTTTTTTTGCTGAGCAAGACTGGCCCTGGGCTAACATCCGTGCCTATCTTCCTCTACTTTATATGGGACGCTGCCACAGCACGGCTTGACAAGCGGTGTGTTGGTGCACGCCTGGGATCTGAACCCGGGCCGCCAGCAGCGGAGCCCACGCACTTAACCGCTAAGCCACGGGGCCGGCCCCCACATCTATCATATTTTTAAAAGTTATTTTATCTTTGCTTTTAATGTACAGGCCTGATTTATTTGATGCTGACTCTTGGTCATGACTGCAATTTCCAATTTTATTATTATTCTTATGGGAAATTATGATAGCCTGCTTTCAAGGAATTGGGGTAGAAAGTGGGGACCTCTCCTATAACTATAGTTAATAATGTTAAGAAATCACTAGTTCTTGCTTTTCCCAGTTTTATTGAAATATAATTGACATACAGCACTGTATTATTTTCAGTTCTTAAATTGAAAAATAAGTGTTCACCAATTTTAATGCTCTACTAAAAAGCCTTTGCTTATTCAAGCATTTTATTAAACTAAATAGTTTCAGACAAGTTCTTCAAAATAACTGAAAGAATAACACCTAACATACGGGCCAGACTCCCAAAGCACAGACTCTAGGGACTTGATCTAAAGGGTAAATATAGAAGTAGAATGTTTAATATCCTGGTAATTAAAATTCTGACACTTCACATTATTAGATTGCACAGTGTGAGGTGGTGGGTACTCCCTTTGTGGCTTTATTTCAAAGTACAGAATCATTTTCATTACTTAACACCTCATAACCACCAAATACTCCATAATCAGTATTTCAACTTTACTGGAAAACCCCTGCTTATGCAAACCTATTAAGAGAAACAAATCCTTGATCTTTCTAGATTTTCTGAAAGACAAAATTCTATGCATGTGCTCAAAGTGGGCATTTAAGATTTAAATTATAGAACAACATTTGGGTTTAGGCTAACTTTAAACAGAGTGCACATCTAACACGTCAGGGTTTCAAATATAGCAAAAAGTTTTGTTCATGTCAAGATTTGAAAAATGCAAGATACCCAAATGACAATACCCTTAATTCATAAGCAAGTGGCATGCTCTATTGCTGGGAGATAAATTGGTATGATCTGATTTTCTGGAGGGAAGTTGAGCAAAATGTCTTAAACTTAAAAACAAAACATGACCAAGACATGGAAGCAACCCAAGTCTCCCTCGACTGATGACTGGATAAAGAAGATGTGGTACATATATACCATGGAATACTACTCAGCCATAAAAAAAGACAAAATCGTCCCATTTACAACAACGTGGATGGACCTGGAGGGTATTATGTTAAGCGAACTAAGCCAGAAAGAGAAAGACAAACACTGCATGATTTCACTCATATGTGGAAGATAAACCAACACATGGACAGACAGAACTGTTTGGTGGTTACCAGAGGCAAAGGAGGTGGGGGGTGGGCACAAGGGGTGAAGGCATGCATTTATATGGTGACTGACAAACAATAATGTACAACAAAAATTTGACAATAAAAAAAAAAGAGAGGAAAAACAACAACAACAAAAAACCAAAACATGAAAGTCTGTCAATAGGGAATGATTAAATAAGTTGTAGTACAACATGCCTACTATACTGCTATTATAAATCATGATGTGAATCTATACTTATTTTCATGGTAAGAAGTCTACAACATACTGCTGACATAAAGAAAAAGTTGCAAACTCAGAATTTATAAGATAAGTGTATGAGTACCTATTTGTCTATACACATACACACAAAACTGTTTGTAACCATGTTCTCCAAAATATTAATGTTGTGTTGGGGTATTTAGACTGAATGTGATTTTAATTTCTTTATTTTCTATAGTTTGTCTTCAGAATTCTTTTTAGATATGGAGTACATGTTATTTTTATAATCCAAAATCAGTAAGACTTTTAATTTTTTTCAAAAAGAAACTTCAATTGAATAGCTTCAGTTTTTTATAGTTTGGTTAAAATTACAGCACAAAATATGATGCAACTAATTTAACTATTTGGATTATAAAAATCCTAATACGGAGGCTAGCCTGGTGGCGTAGTGGTTAAGTTCGTGTACTCCACTTTGGCAGCCCAGGGGTTTCGCAGGTTCAGATCCCAGGTGTGGACCTACACACCACCCATCAAGCCATGCTATGGGGGCATCCCACATACAAAATAGAGGAGGATGGGCACAGATGTTAGCTCAGGGTAAATCTTCCTCAGCAAAAAGGGGAAGATTGGCAACAGATGTTAGCTCAGGGCGAATCTTCCTCACCAAAAAAAAAAAAAAGAAAAAAAAAGGCAAAATATGATATATTATCATGAAAAATTTTAAGTATATTTTCTACCTGTGTATCTATATTTTCCACATTTGGGTTAGAAATTTAGTGAGGACCATCTACTTAGGAATTAGAGTATTTTAACATTGCCTGAAATATATATAGTCAATCAATTTCTCTTTCTATCTTATTGATCTGAATTTTCACTTCATAGAGTCCACTCAACTCTCTTGTTTCCTTTAACAGATCCCACGAATGGATTAACTTTCTTCTCTTCTTTTCCCCCCTCTTCATCCCACCAATACCCACTCTTACAAGATGAACTAACTTCCAATAGAGGAGCAGCTGGCTGGTATCCACAGGTAAAGGTCCTAATGCTGCCTCTGATTCGAGGGAATTTCAAGGCATCCAGTTTCTTTAAACCTCAAGTCTATGAAATGAGACCAATACCTGAAACTCCTCTCAGTGCAATATGGCTGGGGTGAGTGTGTGTGTATGTTTTCTTAACGCTATACTGAACCAAAAAGTTAAAAAAAGGAGTAAGTTAAAGGGGACTAAGACTTGGGTTCTCCTATAGTCTTAAATTTTCATTATTTGATCCTGTGTAGTATACATATTTTTAATGACTATAAACCTACCTTAATTCCTGATGATCCATTATATTAATACTTGGTTTCCTCTATAGTGTTTTGTTGTGCTAACTTAATTAAAAAAACACACATTTTTGTTACCCTTTTATGACACTGTAGGAGATACTCATATCATTAAATGCCATGGCATGCTGCAGAGACCGAAGATTTTCTCTAGATGGTTTTCTGATTTCTCTAATAATGACTATCGTTATTTACTTCACAGGGATACTGTGAAGACAAATGTTATGATGTGTTTGAAATGCTTTGCACTACAGAGATGAGTTATTCATAAAAAAAAAAAAAAAAGATTTTCCCCCTATTTTTAGGGATCTTGAAGTGGAGAAGGGGAGTTAAGAGACCAGGTAAGTCATAACCTTGGTAAGCACAGCTCCTTTGAGCCTTAACTTTTCTCCCTGTGGAATGTGGACACTACCATCTGTTATGTCTGGTACTGGGTGGAGCCTAGGGAGCAAATGAGAAATGCATGTGAATCTGCAGAGCCTTTACTCTATAAATAGCCAGCCTAAAAGTTCATGATTATGTAGTATTTAGAAAAGATTCTATCCATAATGATGTTATACTATTGTGGATTTTGAAGAATTTAGGTAGCCATGCTTGATTTTCCAATGAAATAGCAACCATCCCCTGGATTCTTATGTTATTTGCTAATGAAAACAAACACTGAGACATGGTAATGAAGCCTAAGCCCCTGGAATGAATGTCCAGAGGAGTTTACCTGAATAATCTGGGCGGCAAGCTCAGGTGTCCCATGCTTCAGGTCATGTCCGTTGATGGCAAGCACTCGGTCGTTGCTGTTGAGCCTCCCATCCTGTGCAGCCAGCCCGCCTTCCAACAGGTCAAGAATAAAAACACCTGGCTCATCAGTCCTTCGTACGAGTTTAATGCCAAGCTGTTCACCAGAGTCCCGTTTATGAAGAACCACGTGGAAAATCTCTTCTCTATCAGAATGGCTGTATGCTCGGTTGCCAAAGCGTCTCTCTCGAAGCACAGTGAGATGCAGTGTGCTGCAGGGCTGCGAAAGGACAGCTCTGGCATAGTTATGGGACACATTGCTGATATCATAGTTGTTGACCTAGAAAAAAAGAATTATGACTGCAGCATGACAATCTTTTATTTTCCCAATTTGCAGAAATGTTTATACAACATTTCCAAACAAAACTAACATTGCGAAAATGATATACACTCACTATTTACAAAGAAAACCACTCTAAAGACATTTTAAAATATAGAGTTCCAAAAACTAACTTACAATGACTAGCATTAAGTAGAGAACAGTAGTTAGGATCACAGGCTTTAATGACAGTCTTGAATTAGAGTCCTTGGTTCTGCCATGTACTAACTGGATGACCTCAGGCAAGTTACAGAACGTGTTTGAGTGTGTCCTCATCTGTAAAACGTGTTTACCATCTACTTCATAGGATCACGATGAAAATGAACAGAGGCCATCAGCGCGTGGCGAGCGCCAGTGAAATACTAGTTGTAGTGGAACAGAAGCTGAAGTTCCACTGGATTACAAATTTGCTTCCCGAATGAAATACACTTGCGCTAGAGAAAATAAACTGAATTTTATTTTAAGCAAAGTGGCACATTCCAAGTACACAACCTTATTTTAGATGAGTGACTTTACTTTCAAGAAAAGCAGATAATTATAATTTCACTTTAATTCTTTAGCACACAAGTGTAATATATATACTATATATGCAATACTCACAGACATTATTTATTAAACTTTATCACTTTGAAATAAGTATAGTGACTTCAAAATTGAAAATGCCTAAATCAGCGATGACTGATCAAACTGAAACAAACCCATTCTTAATAATGTTCTAAAAGTCATATTACTTTTAATAGTGACATTGATGTAATTGATAACAGCAGTATTTTCTTCTTCAAACTGCACAAAAGGCTGCATAGTAAAAGGCCCTGAGGGTAGTATATGGTTATCCTTTTCAACGAGGCTATTGAATAGAATAAGATATATGTACGTATATGTGTGTGTGCGTGTGTGTGTGAATATATATATATATTTATGTATGAAACCCAAAGCCACACCCTGTTACTGCATATGGTTGACTAAAATAAAATCATAGGGTTGCTAGCTCTTTGGTCTATAAATAAACCATTTTAACAACTCCTAGGTATTTTCAAATTGGCTCACTGTATTATTTATGCAGCTTATACAAAGTCGGAGATAACCAGGTAGAAAAAAGTTCCCAGCAGCCTTCTCTCCAAGTGTTTACTTGTGAATGACCATGAATACTTCCCCACATTTGGGGAAAGGGTGTGGCTTTACTTACTGGCTCCAGCACAGCAATTAAAGGCCAACCAGAATTCAGGGCCCGCAGTAGGAGAGACCTTTTTGAATTCATTGATCAGGTTATGTGCTCATACTTTTCTTGTCAATTAGAATCATTAAACTGGATTGAAGATCATCATTACTACAGTTATTAATATGTATGCCTCCATGAACAATAATAATGCATTGGAATTTCTACAATGTAAATTTAAAGCTTTGAGTTAATTCTCAAAAATATAGTCAATAATTTCAGATAACTCTAATTTTATTTGAGGTATAATGATTCAGTTATGTTACTAAGCAATTCTCCAAAATAGAAGAGTTTTAGCCCACTGATGAAATATATTAGCAAACAAAACTGAAAAATTGTTTAACCTCAATTGTTTTCCAAGAAATACGGACAAAAACAAAGCATTTGTTTTACCTTTAAAATTTAGAAAAAGAGTGAGAAATGTATAAGAATGTTAATACCCAATGCTAGCGCATTATTGGTAGCAAAGAACAAAACACAAAAATAAATGTACAGCTAGCAAAGCCAGAAGGGGGAGAAGGAAAGAGCACATGTAAGCTCCAGAAAAGGGCAATTGGCTCTCCTGGTCAGGGGGCTGCAGCTGGGAAACCAGCTGTTAAGATCTCCTCCACGTAAAGTCTGATTAAGAGCTGGGAACTAAGGAATACAGATGAGGTATCTACAAAGTTGTGCCAGCCTCGTGCAGCTAGAGTACTAACGTCATAAAAGGAGAGCAAATACAGTAATACAGTAAATAGCTAGCTTTTACTAGTAAATACAGTAAGTAGCTAGCTCTGGTTGGATCAGAAACCTGATTTTATATAAGCTGGATTAGTTATGCTTCCTGTATTCCCGTTTCCTCTTAGTATTCAGTAAAAAATAAAACACTGCTTGAAAGTTCAGTCTGTGTCAGCCATGTGAAGGACAATGAAGGAAGGATTTGGGGCCAAGTGTTCAAGCGGGATGATACACCGCGAGAGGCAGCATATAAGTGGAGTGGAAACTAAAGGCAGGAACCTGCAGTGGAAGGTCAGTCCTGGCTGCTCTGGTAGCCTGGTTTGTTTTTTCCCATCTGGAGATGTCCTCTCAAGAGCTGAAAATCCTAGAGGTTCCGCGTTTTGTTTTAATAAAGGAGATGGCTGTTCCTGACAGGATGTTATACCCAAATCCACTCTTTTATTGATTCAGCAAGTATTTCCTGAGCACTTACTACATGCACAGCACTATGAGAAACCTGTATCATAATCTGTACCATTAGGGGGGCTGCAATCACCCCATCAAGGGAAAGCTAGTATATTTGAATAATTTACTGTGCTTATGTGCCACGTGATGAAGAGAAAAGCAATGAGTAATTAAGGTAAGGAGAAGTCAAAACAGGTGAGAATGGCTAAGCAAAGCTTTAAGGATGAAGGTGAACAAACTGTAGGACTATGGGAACAGGTTGGAATGTAGAATACGTTGTTTGGAGGGAAGAAGACTGTATGTTTGGCTCTTCCAGTTGATTATAAACTCCATGAGGACAGGGACAGTATTTTGCTCTTAACTGTATCCTCAGCAATTAGTACAATGCCTAGAACATTGTAAGAAATGAACAAATTGCTATGCCTGAAAAAGAAAGAGCTAAAATTAAGATGATAGGCTGTATAAGAGACCAGGAAAGACCTTGAATATTAATCAGTCTGGACTTGATCTTCTAGTCAAATCTTCCCAAGGAAAGCAGAGTTACGGCTATATTAACCTGGCAGTGATCATGCTGGATTTAAGAGCAGAGAGTTGGGAGGCAGGAATCTGTGATGGGGTACTCTACTAAATTAGATATGAAACAGTGAGGGCCTAGACTAAAGAGGTAGCAGGGAAAATGGAAGTAAGGGGTAGACATCAACAGATCATGGTGAAGGACTGAATGATGAAATTGAGGAGGAAAGAGTCTTTGAGCTTGGGTTCCTAGAAAATATTTTTTATTGTTTATGAATATTTCTCTCTCCTTCTAGAAGTTATCATTTCTTTAGCTTCAGCTATCATCTACACTTGTGTGATTCAAACATGCAGGCCAGTGTTCACATAAACTCCAGGCCTATACAGTAGAATTCTTACTATTCCCATTCCCTCAGTCTCAACACGCCCTCTAATAAAATGCCATCTTGTCCCAGGCTAGTTCTTTTTTGGGAATAGCTATTTCTTCTTAAAGATCATCTTCTGAAAAAGAAGGTGAGGGTGGTATCAACGGTTAATGAAGAGTTAGACTGCTGAGGAGAGTGCATTAGGGAGCCAACAAGAGATGGCTATGATTTCTGAATTCTCCCTTAGATTCTACGGTATAAATTATAAGTAACGAGTGCTGCACAGTTTGCCTTTTCTAGATTTTAGTAATCAGTATAGTAGAGAAGGATAAAGTAGATAGTGAAGGCAAAAGATAGATGGGAAAACTGGACTTGGGATCAAGCCAATGGAATAATAAGATTTCAGCAGGGGTGAGGTGGCCCTGAAATAGCCAACCATGGAGTCCAAGCCAGGAGAGTCTAGCTGGCCTAAAGAGCGGAAGCACCGTGTGCTAAGTCACATGTGGGACTGAAAATTAAGGTAAGGAGAAACAAATACATTCCATGTATGTGGGGAAACTACAGATAAATTGTGATCTATTTTGCATATAAAAACAGCAAAAATAACCTATATATAATTCAGGTTCCACAGTACCACAATTTTCTAAGTTTTAAACTTATGAACAGTAACAAAAGGATGCAAGTTAACAGAATAATTAAAATTGATACCTGAAGAATCTGGTCTCCAGCAAGGAGTCTTCCATCTCTGGCGATTATCCCATCCCGATAGACTTCCTGGATAACAATGTTAATCAGTGGCGTTTCATTGCCACCCACAATGCTAATTCCTAACTGAATATAAGGATTAGACCGGTGAATTTCAATGGTGGTAATTTCGCCTTCTGGTAAACTAAGTGGCTGTTGCGCAGCTGCTGAGTTAAAAATGAGAGAGAGAAAAACAGATGGAAAGAAAAACGATGTTTTATATTTTGATCATCTTCAGGTAAATAAATCATCTTATGTTGATAGATTAATAACTAAGCAATACCACTGGATAAGAAAAAGAGAATGACAAAAAAATCTATATGTTAAGATTATCCAAACATTTCTTCTCCCAAAGGTGATCAGTAGATAATCAATAGCTACTGTGTATCAGATCACAAGGGACAATGCAGTTTTCTGATACAGAAATATTAAGAGAATGTCATTTTGTCCTAACTGATAAGAGAAAGTATGGACCATGACAAAACTGTAAGTAATGCAAGGCAGTATAAAGGAAAAACTAACTCTGTGGTATATAATCACCATAGGTGTTGAGAGAGAAGTCATAGCAAGCACTAAGAAGAGGTGAGTCTTGAACTGAGCCTTAGGAGATGAAGAAGGATTGTAGCTGTGGCAGGGGAAATTTCAATTTGTAGTATAATTTGGAATTTGTAAGAGAAAATTGTATTTAAAAGTACATACCTAGGGCCAACTATCAAGGTATGCTTGAGACCTATGACCACAGGCTTTCCATTCATTTCCTAGTGGGTTGTGCAGTCAGATTAGGGGCTGCTACCAGAGGAGTGCAATGGTCAGGAGCATGGCCTGGCAGTGAGATATATATCCAGCCATTTCCTGGCTGCACGAGCTTGACCAATTAATTTCTCAAGACTCAGTTTTATCTCTGTTAAAAAAAATCTAATATTGTTATAGGCATTTAATCAGTTAATGTATGTAAAGTGCTTGGCACAGTGCCTGACACAGAGTAGGCACTTAATTTGAGGTATTACTTTTGCTGTTCTTGATTTCTTAGTCAGGAAGCAACAAGCTTCTGAACACACAAACAAACAATACGAAGCATGTTAATGCCTAATGAATTCATGGTCTACAGTAGAAGACGGGTGGGGAAGGATCCTCTTCCTCTGGGGTAAGATTCCTGTTCTGTTCCTAAAATGCAATCTATTAGAATTATACACTTAAAACGGTGAATTATGTGGTATGTGAATTATATCTCAATAAAATTATTTTTTTAAAGAGAAAAAAAATGCACGTTGGGAGAGTAGTAGGGAGCAGTGGGAAGGAAGTCCGATTTGAAAACAGAGCTGCGAAACAAGAGGAGGCGATAGGCGGCACATACTGTCGGCAACAGTGCTCTCCTCAAAAGCAGGGTTGTCCAGGCCAGGCTCCTCAGTCCACGTGGGGAGAGATGCTGATGTTGAGCTCCGCTCGGTGGGCACTGCGCCTGCCCCTGAACAGTCCGTTTCGACTGATAGGGTACCTGGAAGATCTATTATAGTGGTTCCATTTTCATTCTCAATCTCTGTCTGAGTTTTACTAGTTTTCCTTCTCTCTAGGGCAGCTCTCCGATGAGACGCTCCAGGACATCTAGAAAGAGAGCATCAGGTCGTTTCCCGATGATTTGAAAGGAAAAAAAAGTGATTAATAGCTTGTACCACAACAGAAGAACGGCAATGGCTTCTATGCAAAAAGCACCTAGAAGTACCCATAACAGTACAAAATTCTGACTTTAATTTCCACTCAAACTAAGTTCTTATCACTCCACATGGCCAAATTTAAAACAAGGCTTTGGCACAAACAATGGTTTGGTTTATATCTCAAAAAATACTTAAATAAAAAATTGTATTCAGGTATATACTAGTACCAGAAATATATACACCAGTATAGTTGTCTCTATACTGCAAGATTACTCTCAAATTCTGATTACCTAACCCTTTTACAGGTTAAACGGCTTAACCACAGGAGTAGAGATCAGCATTCTTCCACCAGTCCTGCATTCTGACTTAGACCCTGGTTGTCACTATGCCTCTACGCTCTCCTGGCCAATGCTACACATTCACTCGTTAGTGGGTAGCAATACATTTGAAGCTTTACCACTTGCAGGAAAGCAGAGCAAAGGCCCAAATAACTTACTGTACGACAGACATGGAAAGAGATAAAAACATATCTCCCAGTTTACAAAATTAGAATGGCAATAGTGGAATTACATATATGTTATGTAACTTGAAGAATATATTCCAAGTACTTGCAAAACTTACAAAAGCACCAAGAAATAACAACTGTTAACTTGCTTGTTTTCACTTATTTAAGCAAACAAAAAGGGCAGATAGATGCTTGTTTAAACATTTAAATAAAGTCTTTATACAACAGATATTAGGAATGACGTTAAGGTGCCAGTTCTTTTCCATCTGGCACCTTGATTAGACAAAGTGACTAATAATGCCCAGTTTGAAGAGTGGGAGGAGGAAAAGGAGATTAGTGAAGGAGAGCCAGACTCATATTCCTAGAGCCTAACACAACTCTACAGACACCATTTACTCTCACGTTGGAGTAAGAAGGTATAAAAAGTTTGGGTAGGGTGAGCAACAGTCTTACGCCTATCTGAAGGGTTGCAGACTTCATTCAATGACAATATTTTAAAAAATCTAGAATTTCAACAAAAATTAAGCATAGGATTAAATTTAATTAAAACTGAAAGCTATCCTTTAACTATAAGAGTAATAAATTTTCCCTCACGAATTAAAGATTTACTTTTTTTTTTTTTTTCCCCCTGAAGAAGCTTGGCCCGGAGCTAACATCCGTTGCCAATCTTCCTCTTTTTTTGCTTGAGGAAGATTAGCCCTGAGCTAACATCTGTGCCAGTCTTCCTCTATTTTGTATGTAGGTCACTGCTACGGCATGGTTGATGAGTGGTGTAGGTCCGTGCCTGGGATCCAGACCTGTGAACCTGGGCCGCCAAAGTGGAGCATGCCAAATTTAACCGCTATGCCACAGGGCTGGCCCCCTAAGGATTTATTTTAAGTCCTGGATTTCAAGTTCTTGAAAGGGATCATTATGAAATTTCTTTATTCAACTTTTTCTCATTACTTGTTTTCTCTTCACCTTGTTAAGAAGGGGGACAACTGATTTTCCTTTCTGCATTCTTGTTGCAGCACTCCAGGAAATGTTCTCCAAGGGCCTGACAAATATTTTTGAAAATTACATCACTGAAAAGTTATTTTTGATAAATAAGCAGATTTAATTAGAAATATGTTTTTAAAAATATTTTATTCAATAAAAAATTGAGACAAAAACTGGATCATAAAAAATATCAGTGACTAAAAAGATAGGTGAAGATTTAATTCTCAAAATATATATCATACACAAATATCTACATGGGCAATAGCTAGTCTTTAATGGCAAAAAAGGACTAGGAGCAGGAAATGAAGAGGAAACACAAATGATGCAAACACCTGGGAATTAGCCAAGCTAACAATTAAAAAGTCCTACAAACTAAGTAACTATAAAGCCTATCTTATAGTTATTAAACATGCAAAAACAAATTTAAAAAGGAAAACAAAGCTGTTAAGTAAAGAAACAGGTAGACTTAAATTCCCAATGGGCTAGCAAATTGTTAACAGGAACTAAAGATATTAAAAATGATATCATGTAAAGATATGGAAGAATGATCTTATCCAGCATTAGAGGAGGAAGGTTATAAATAGAACCTTCAGGAACACCCATCTTTAAACAAGGTGGACTAGCTAAGTAGATTGAGATAGAACAACTGGATAGGAGGAGACTATGAGGGAAAGACTTCACACTAAGTAAGGGAGACAAGAGTGTCAACAAAGAACATGGCTAACAGTCCAATGCCACAAAAGAGGCAGATAAGATACGGACCAAAAGCGTTGGTTTGATTAGAAGGTCATGGTGACCTTAGAAAGAACACTTTCAGTGACGAGGGCAAAAGCTCAGACTATAATACAAGGATTTCTGTTAACACAACATATACATTCTACAAAAACTGCACACTAAAAATTACAGGGCTTAAGGGAACAAGAAGACTGAGATAGACCATTCAAAGCTGTGCAACGGCTGCTAATGGGTACAGGGTTTCTTTTTGGGGTGTTGAAAATGTTCTAAAAATTAGATTGTGATGATGGTTACACAATTCTGTGAATATACTAAAAATCACTGAATTGTACACTTTAAAAATAGGTGAATTTTATGGTAGGTGAAATATACCTCAATAAAGCTATTTTTTTATAAAAGACTATCAGGGAATGAGTAGATCAGAGCAGGCTTGGATAGAGAAACAATCATGACCACACACAGCTCACAGCTGTCATCCCTTAAGTTTATAAACACTTGGAACTGAAAGAAAAAGGACGAAACCAACATTTGTTGAGTGTCTGATTTGTGCCAGTGTAAAGACCTTTATAGAGTATTTCATCGAATCCTCACAGCCACTCTATTACCCTCATTTTACAAAGAGGAAACTTGAAACTTAACTAAGCCAACATCATATAACTATTCTATTGCAGAGCCAAAATCCAAACAAACTCAGATCTGATTTCAAAGATGTCTGCTTTTTCCACTATATCATACTAAATTTATTCTTTTGGTGTTCTTTTTCTAGGCCTCAAGAAAACATAAATTGAATTTGTTCTGCAAACTTGTACCTAGAAACACAATCACAGAATGTTAGTGAAAGGCCTTAGTGATCATTAAAAAACAAAAAAATCACAAACAGTTTGGTGGTTACCAGGGGCAAGGGGGGTGGGGGGTGGGCACAAGAGGTGGAGGGAGGCGTTTATATGGTGATTAACAAACAATAAGGTACAACCAAAATTTCACACACACACACAAAAATCACAAACAGCAACAAAAACCTATGCATCTTTTTAAATGGAGCATTTAACAATAATAACACAAATGCAGTTAGTATCACGGGCTGTAACTTGGGTAATTCAAGCAGGTAAATCAGTGTAGCATGAGGCTAACAGAGAGGATATTAAAAATGAATGAAAACAATAGAATAGAAATACATGCAACACTTAATTAGAGCAGGGTAGACATGTGCTCAGACAATGCAGATGGAAGTGCAGCTCTGAGACAGTGGGCTGCCCTTAAAAAGGGCACTGGAGGCACTGTGACCTGCCATAGGCTGAAGGTTGTACCTCCCTAAAGAGGGATTTCTACATGTGGGTGTGTTTTTAAATTTTCTTAAATAAAACCAAGAGGCTCTTGCAGCAGCCAGAGCCCAACTGAGGGACTTTTCCTTTCCTGCTGAAGGTTATACATCCATTTCCACTATTCTGGCTCTCCTTACGGAGGACAAATTACACATGAACTTGATTTATGATATAGTGGCATCCTGTTATTCCCTGATATAACAATGATTCACATTAGGAAACATACAGTGTAACAGAACACACTATATTATTAGTATTAGTATTAGTATTAGTGGTGGTAGTGGTGGTAGCAGTAGTAGAAGAAGTGAAATAAAATGATGCATGGTAAGTGCCAGCACAATGCTAGGTACTTAATGAAACTCAAAGAACATGAGCCTCTTAGAACCAAGAAAAATGACAAAAATATTTACGGATTAAAATATGCAAAAATCAATTCAAATGACATCAATGAAAATGGTAGATTAAAGGTATATGAAAAGCCTTTCCCCCATAAAGCAATGCTAATACTGGCAAAAACTGTCAGAACCAACAATTTCTGAGCTCTGGAAATTAGCTAAAGCTCTGTAGCAATCTGAAGAGCATTTATTCAAGAAAATATGGCTGAATCTCAGTAATAACAGTGAGTGATATGGCATTTGAACTTGACCTATTCCCATTCGCACCTCCCCAGTAGCCTGGAAAAGCAACGGCCCACAATCACAGTGGAAACAGGAGTCTGGCAGCCATTGGAGGGGCAGACTGGAACACCTTCAAAGCCCGATTCCTAGAGAATTGTCATTAATTGACCTATTCATTGGTTTCCTGGAAGACCCCACTTACAAGGCTGTCTTTATCTGACTTGTCTTGGAGCTCACCCAGTGAAAACAGCCTTTTCACTGGGGGCATCTGTTGAAAAAAAATCAGAGGTAATTGTTTAAAATTATGGCTGCCTGAGGTGAGCAAACAAAAGGCTTATTAAAAAGTTTAAAAAGAAAAGCTAGGGAATGAAATGTCCACAGTGGTTCTGATATATCTAGGGCTGTGTGCATGCACAGGAAAGAACTGAGAAAGCCCTAAGCTCTCACTTCTGGCTAACACTGAAGCTCTGTGAAAGGAGGAAATGAAGGCTAAGTTGAAACTGTCAAGTGCCTGAGTGTTGAAGGTATGCCCCACCATGCATACAGAGCCCCTTGGGAAACTGGGAGATTTACTGTTTCCAGGCATTTAAGGAATTCTCTATCCAATCATTAGCTAACCTGTAATCTGAGCAGAGATTTTGCAGAATTAATTTAGAAATGTCACTGAACAAACAAACAACAACAAATAGCAATAACATATCCTAGAGAGGCAGAAGAATATGATTTCCAGAGTTGCCACATTATATTATTTAAAATGTCCAGTGTTCAATACAAAATTAAGAGATATGCAAAG